ATTATCTTCTGCAATACCATTTGCTACATATCTGTCAGGCCTAGCCCAAGGAACTCCAAGAGACCATGTAAATTCAGTTCAGCTATGTTTATTAGCTACAACCTCTAGCAAGAATCTTCCCAGACTGAAAACCCCAGTTCCCAAAGTCAGCCAGTCAGAACAGTGTGAATTCCTCAGGGAGGTGCCAGCCTCATCCTCTTGTTCCTCCCACACTCTTCTGGAGAGCTAAGAAAATGTTTATATCCCTGAACCTGGCCTTCATAATTCTACTCCATCACAATACCTAACCCACCCAGGGGTTGAAGTTCTTGACACAAGTTTCTCCATGGTTTGGCAGAGAGATTAAGGAGGGAAAAAACAAATAAAAAAGACTTCATGGATGCTCTTGAAATTGACACGTTAAAAAAAATCCACCCAAAACTTAAACCAAGGATAAACAAATAAACGGAAGTATAAAAGTGAAAGCAATCAATGTCTGAGCCCTGCCAAGATACAATGTAGCAAGATTAAGATAAGTTCATTAAAAAAAACCACAGTATGTTTTTTTTTAAGTATGTTTAAAGGAAAAAAACAACTGACTTGTTTCTGAGTTGAACTCCAGCAAAGGAGTATTAGCACAACAATTATAAGAATCAGCAAAATAATGCACCGGGGTCATCTGAACGTCAAGAAATCCCTTTTTGGACCAAGTTAGGATCAGTCTAAGCCGGTCTAACATCTTACCTGCAGTGTATAACTCATCCATTAACCAAGATGAAGCTGCTGTCAGAAAACTTTATAAACTTTTTAATTAAGTGTTTTAGAGAAAGAGTAGGAACAAGAAGATATGAAGATGTAAAAGAGGAGGGAAGGAAAATGCAAAATATATATATGTATGTATGTGTATGTATATATATATATATATATGCAAACCCCTACCACCCCTTGTCTCTATTTGTCTGTGCCTAAGCCTCACATTCACCCTTGAACTTCTGTTCATCTTTGAGAGCTTTTGCCCCCCCCCACCAACCTCTCCCAAAGGGACCATCTGCCAGAACCAAATTACCTTGTGCAAGGATGGGACCTCATCTCTTGCTTTATGGTACTCTTCCACACATTCCAGACAGTAACAGAGGTCATCGTTGGCTGCAGCAACATCCTTCGGAGACAGGGCATCAGAAACATAGCTCTTCAACACCTTTACGGTGGCAGGACCACCTGGTGTACACCAACAGCATGTACTCATTCTACAAGGCAGGGAAGAAAAAGAAGATTACTGGATGGCACTGAAACATTTCGCCCCAATTTGGCACATTAGCTTGGTGAAAATGGCCACAGGCATTACATGTCTATGTTGTGTGTGCGTGTAGGGGAGGAGAAAATAGAGAGAACATATTTCTTCCCCTCCCACGGTGGGCACAATCACCACAGAAGATAACCGAACAGTTTGATTGACTCAAAGCTTCAGAACAGCTGCCCCTTTAACACGTTTCTTGGTTCTGGCACAACTAATTAGAGGTACCCCTTGCTGATCAACATGATGCTCTCTATGAACGTAAGCAGAGAGGCTACCTGAAGCAGCAATCAAATGTAGTCACCAAAAGTTGTTTTGTGGCATCTTCGTTCTGCAAAAATTTGCCAGTGTGGGAAAAAATGGTGGGGAAAGATAGCCACGGAAATCCACCAGCGAGGTAGCAAGCTATTGTAACGAACAGCCGTGCTCTCAGCCACTAAGCACACCCACACAGATGCATGTCACGCACAGAGTTCCTCTTTTTTCTCTATTTTATAACCCAAAGGCACCCAATAACTCTGACCAGCTGGTTTCCACCAATCCCGTCATGGAATATTATAACAATTGAGAAGAAGGCTCGGGGAGAGTTCCAGCTGTTCTTGGGCAGTTCTTGATCCTGGAAGTTCACGTCCTGACTCTTGGTACTTTGATCCATCAGTCATAATTCAATCTCTTTCTCTTTATACAAGGCCTTCAGTATGCATTGTTTTCGTTCATTCTAGCATGGTAAGGCATTTGCTCCCTTTTATCCATGCTTCCAGATGGGACTGCAAGTATTCCATTAAACTGATTGTCCATCACATAGGTCATTAAGCTGGTTGTCCGTCATGATCCCTGGATGAGGCCATTTGTTGGACAAGCCTACAAAGAGGTCATGCTTTGTTCAAATGTGGGTTCTCTTTGGTTCAGCCAACCAATCTTTGGCTTCTACATCTCCAAATGCTTTGCCAAAAGCAATGATTCTTTTAAGGATCCGGAAGCAATAAGCGCACAGGTGATTTGAAGTTAAAGCGTCTTTATTCTAAAGCAGGCACAGTAGTAAGCAGAATATACAATACCAAGCAAGCTTTCCTCAATCAGTTGTTGGGAGCCCCAGTGGACAACAACAAAGAAACCCCAATCTCTGGCCGGCATGCAGCCCCTTCCTGGTTAGGTCTGCATCGAAGCTCTTCTTGAGCAGAACTTCGAGGCTTTTTATCCTAAATTTTAGAAGAATGCGACGTGCCTCTAAGGGCAGCACCTTAATCAATCACACCTGTTGTTTTCAGGTTTTATGATGATTCAAGTTCTTCCTACCAGATAAGTTGAAGCGAGTGGACAGCAGCCAATTCCACTGTTTATGGTATCCTCCCGCATTCCGAGGTCGTACCTTCCCAAACAACACCCAGCCTTGAAAAACACATTTCATGCCAGAGGACCTTAACTGGCCTTTAAAGAAGCTCAGTAGTTAACTTGGTCCAGGAGACTTGGGAATAGAAGGAACAATTGTGGCACGCTCCTCGACAATAGTCTTCCGGTGATTTTTCTCTACACCAAACACCGTTCCAACAGTTCACAATGGGACAGAGAGATCCCAAGTGAGCCCTTTTTAGATCCAAAGAATCTAGTTTGTCCCACTGCCTGGTGGGAGAAGGCACAAACCTTTGAAAATAGATCATCCCTCAAGACTTACGTTGACGGAACATATACTTAATATGAAAAATAAACATTGGTGTCTTGTTGATTACGTAAGGACATTCCCAATATGCCTTTTTATTCAAAGATATTAAGACAACTTGGTTCAGTAGCAGCTACTCAATTTCAAGGTATATAACATTTTTTTTAACTTCCCAGAAAGCCAGGTTTCTATGCAGAAACATCAGCATGGTGCTTCTAAACCATGTTGTGGGCAACCCAACCACTGTCTTAGTACAATGGTGGACATTCTTGGGCCTACCAGACTCTTCCACTGCCTGATATCTTAAGAGGATTTTAGCAAAACATAAATAGGAATGTGTTTGCTACCAAGAAAATCCAGCCTTCTTCCTCCTATTTCTCTGCCTTTGGGGGTTGAGAAACATTCCAGTAGGATAGAGATGGTCCTTGAGAAAATAGGAAACATTCTGATAAATGGGTGCTTTACAACTGACCATGGCAACTATTTTGTGCTAAGGCAGAGAAGACACCACAAACTGAGGGAGCCTTTGTGGCAAATGATCAAGGGACAGAGGGATTTTCCACTGTTTCACATGAGGGATAATTACAAGGTTGCTATGTCACCATCAATTAGCCCAAAGAAAAACAGAAGTGGGTTTTTGCCTGAAACAGCCCAAAGCTTGTTTCTAGGATGAGAAGCAAAAAGACATTGTTTTGAGAAAAAGACCTTGGTGGTGACAAAAGCCAAACTTTGGAGCTTCCTGCCTTCTCATTTTAACTGTTAGTTACCTTGATAAGGAAGAGCAGGAAATTCGTCATATGTAAATAAATACAATCTTGGGGTTTAAGAAACAAAAGGAATATTGTTCCTACGAGTCTGAAATCCATCCATCCTTAACATACATAGGTAGGAAAATGCCTGCTTTAAATTATCTTAGGGGAACATTCACAAAAGACCCAGCTATTCATGGCTTCACTTCCACTCACACTTCTATTTGAAACAGGTCCATAAAACACGTCCACCTATAAATCAATAGAGCTTGCAGAGAAATGTGGTGTCACTCCAAACGTGGTTGGGATCACAACTTCCATACCTGAAACAGCCATAGCACAAGATTGGGGAAGGCTGCTTAATAAAATACTTGCCCGTTTAAGCAGAGTTAAACTTGCTTCTTGATGCTGCAGGAATCAACACTGTCCCCCCCACAAGAAAACTGAGCTGGGTTGAAGACTGAAAACTTCCTTCCTCCATATTCCCCTATACAAATCAAGGGATATTTCTTTCCTTAATTAACAGAGGAATCTCTAGGACAGTGTTTCTCAACCTTAGCAACTTTAAAATGTGTGGACTTCAACTCCCAGAACCCACCCAGCATGGCATGCTGGGTGGGTTCTGGGAGTTGAAGT